TTGCTAGCGCACTAGGACTCCACTCTCAGTCTTGCAAGACACTATAGTAGTGAAGCCCCGGACAAACGGGCATTCAGGTTATATAGACACAAGTCCGTGGGGTGAGGGGAGGAAAGAATGAGGAAGTAAGATAAGGGGCTTTCAGGGTAATTTTATGGCGACCCTGAAGCTGCTTGCTCGAGCAGGACAAAAATGTTTCTCTTTACAGATGTTGCAACCAGGTCTGATTTGCAGAGACATCTGATCTGGGTTTTCCGGGTTAGCAGAATGGGGGGCGAGTTTTACAAGGGTCCGAGCTTCCTGCAAGGTGCTAAGCTAACTTGCAAATGGCTCTGGGCTTCCTACAGGGAGCTAGCAAATTGCCCCAGGCTTCCACAACTTCAGCAGTTTATCATGAGGGCGGCATCAGCTTTAGTACAGAAGCGAAAGAGGGAAAGGTTAGACTTTATCTTTACAAAAACAGGATAGACATAGTTTAATTTTATTCTTACATTCCCCCATTTTGCATTTTTGGCAAGGAGTTTTAATCATAAAACTTATGTACCCATAATTTATTTCTGTTAGGTAAAGTTGGAGCCCCCATGTGTGACCCTGCTCCCAGTCCCAGAGGGCTTTTTTTTTTTTTTTTTGTGAAGTGAAAGAAATATTTAACATGTTACACCACTGAGATTTACAGAGGTCACTGGAGGACCGATTAAATGTTACAGTAATTGAATCCCAGGAGGAGGAGGGTCTCCACCTGGCATTTCCCGTGGTTTTGCAGCCCCAAGTCTGACAGAAGAAATGGTCCAGCCCCCCACATTTTCACACCTGAGCCTGGGATCACCCATCTTTAGGGCATACATAGAATTCGGTTGTCTGGAGAATTTTTTGTTGGGCAGAGCATTTACAGCCGGCCAGCTGAGGGCCGCTTGGGCATTCACCAGTGGGGGGCTCTGGGCTGTGGGAGGATCTTTTAAGTGGGGTAGGCCTGTTCCCCAGGATCTCATATCTATGCTGTCTACACCGACAGTGAGCAGGCAAAAATCGGGGTGTAAGGTGGGCCACCATGTCCAGGGTGGCTGGGTGGCAGAGATATTTTAAACTAGTTGTATGGTTTGCGAGAGGATCTGTCAGGTTAGTAGCTGGGGAGCATGGAGGTTGGCACTACTTATCACCGGTAGAGTCGTCAACAGGAGTAGGGCTGTTGCGGCAGATGCGAAGCTTGAGTGGATGATCCAGTTTTTTCACCTTCCAAGTTGGGTCTGGCAGGAGTGCTGGCTTGACACGGGAGGCTTGGATCCAAGCTGCAATACCATCGACTTTTATTGCTATTGGGGTGGTGAGCAGCACCAGGTAGGGTCCTTTACACCGAGGCTCCAAATTAGCCACCCGATGTTGTCAGATGTACACTGAGTCTCTGACCTGGAACTGGTGAGGCACTTGTGTGTCTCCCGGCTCATAGGCCTTGGCGAGTTGGTTCCACACCTCTTTTTGTACTGCTTCAAGGGCCTTTAGCCTGTCATAGAGGGATTGAGAAGAGTGAGAGCTGGAGAAAGGGAAATGCATAGCAGTAAGTGGGGACGGGACCCCGTACAGAATTTCGAAAGGAGTCAGGTTAAAGGGTCCGGGAGTGTTCCGTACAAGGAACAGGGTGAAGGGAAGGAGGACTGTCCAGTCTTTTATGCCAATCTCTAAGGTTAATTTTGTCATGGCCTCTTTTAAAGTTCTATTCATATGTTCTACCTGTCCTGAACTTTGAGGTCTATATGCACAATGTAATTTTCAATTGGACCCCAAGACCCTGGCCAGTTCCTGACTAATTTGAGTGACAAAAGCGGGGCCATCAATAAAAACACTAGGGAGTTTAACAGCACTAACGTCCAAAGTCCTAAGCATCCTCTGTTCTTGGCACAAATTGGTAGGTATGCTGTTTATCTTTGTACCTGTCAAGGTCAGGCTCTCCAGATGGACAGTTCCGGTCAGACTGGGGAACCACTGCACCATGCTCATACCCCAAATGACTAAGGAATGCAGATCCAATAAATTGTGAAATGCTGAATTTCCCACAAAAGACAGAGGATTGTCATACAGGTGTATGGTTCTTAACAGTGGATTACCACCAAATGTTTCATCAGGGATGACAGAAATAGAATTACTGTGAAATCCTAGCTCTTTCAGACTAGAAAGGGCTTTAATAGCCTGAGGAAATTTTTCTAAATTAACTATTTTTAACTGATTGTTCTGGAGGGTTAGAACTGTGAGTTCTTTTAACCCAGACAAGGCCTTTGGGTGGATAAAAGAAAGGTCGTTGCCAGCCAATTGTAGTTCTTGTAGGAAAGGAAAGTTCTTAAATGCATATTCTGGTAATTGAGTAATGTTCATGCTGATATCTAGCGCTTGGGTGAACGCGCTGACCCCCTCCGGCATGGCCCTCAGCCCC